TGGACTAATTCGAGTTCTATTACACTATAATTGACCGTGATTGTGTTGTAATCGAACTCGAATTAGTTCAATCAAAGTCAAATTAGTATAATCGAACTCGAATTAGTCCAATCACGGTCAATTATAGTGTGATCGAACTAGAATTAGTCCATCGAAGTCAAATTACTATAATCGAAATCAAATTAGTCCAATCAAAGTCAAATTAGTCCAATCGAACTTGAATTAGTGCAATCGAAATCAAATTAGTACAATCGAAGTCAAATTAGTACGATCGAAGTCAAATTAGTACAATCAAAATCAAATTAGTTCAATCGAAGTCAAATTAGTCCAATCGAACTCGAATTAGTTCAATCAAAGTCAAATTAGTATAATCAAACTCAAATTAGTCCAATCAAACTAGAATTAGTCCAATCGAAGTCAAATTACTATAATCGAAATTAAATTAGTCCAATCGTAGTCAAATTAGTCCAATCGAACTTGAATTAGTCCAATGGAAATCAAATTAGTGCAATCGAAATCAAATTAGTACCATCGAAGTCAAATTAGTACAATCGAAGTCAAATTACTATAATTGAAGTCAAATTAGTACAATCGAAGTCAATTATACGAAAATCGAAGTCGAATTAGTCCAATCGAAGTAAATTACTATAATCAAAATCGAATTAGTCCAATCGAAGTCAAATTAGTACAATCGAAGTCAAATTAGTACAATCGAAATCGAATTAGTCCAATCAAAGTCAAATTAGTCCAATCGAACTCGAATTAGTCCAATCGAAGTCAAATTAGTATAATCGAACTCGAATTTGTCTAATCACGGTCAATTATAGTGTAATCGAACTAGAATTATTATAATCAAAGTCAAATTAGTATAATCGAAATCAAATTAGTTCAATCGAAGTCAAATTAGTTCAATCAAACTCGAATTAGTCCAATCGAAATCAAATTAGTACAATCGAAGTCAAATTAGTCCAATCGAAGTCAAATTAGTACAATCGAAGTCAAATTAGTACAATCGAAGTCATTCTAGTCCAATCGAAGTCGATTTAGTACAATCGAAGTCACATTAGTACAATCGAAGTCAAATTAGTACAATCGAAGTCAATTATACTAAAATCAAAGTCGAATTAGTCCAATCAAAGTTAAATTACTATAATCGAAATCAAATTAGTCCAATCGAAGTCAAATTAGTACAATGGAAGTCAAATTAGTACAATCAAAGTCAAATTAGTACAATCAAAGTCAATTTACTATAATCAAAGTCAATTATGGTGTAGTCGAACTCGAATGAGTCCAATATAAAGTCAAATTAGTACAATCTCGGGCAATTATGGTGTAATCGAACTCGGATTAGTCCAATTGAATTCAAATTAGTACAATTTTGCTAGTTTTTTTCGTTTTTCTTCTTGTTTTCCACCGTTTTAGGTCGGAAGAACCGCAAGAAATATTTTCAGCCCAAGAAATTGCCCTAAAAGCATGATCAAGTAGTGGTATTCGTTGGCGACATGTAGGAAGAATCGAAACTCAATTTCGAGTTCGGACAAGTCCGAACGGTCCCGATATGCGAAGTCGTGCAAGGAAGCTGCCAACTTCAGGTCAAGAGCTTTGAGATAATAGGTTTTCAAGAATAAATTAGATTTCAAAGCATAATTACATAGAAGGCTTCGTTGGCGACATGTAGTAAAAAACGGAATTCAATTTTGAGTTTGGACGAGCCCAAATGAGCCTGAATTTTGCTAGTCTTCTTCGTTTTTTATTCTTTTCCCTCGTTTTAGGCCGTAATCCTCGCAATGAATAGTTATAGACCGAACATTGGTCAGACAAGCATGCTCTTGTAGTAGGATTTGTTGGGGACATGTAGGAAGAATCGAAACTCAATTTTGAGTTCGGACGAGTCCTAATGGTCCCGATAAGCGAAGTCGTGCAATAAAGCCGCCAACTTCAGGTAAAGAGCTTTGGGATAATAGGTTTTCATGAATAGGTTGAATTAGAAAGCATAATTATATACAAGGCTTTGTTGGCGACATGTAGGAAAAAACAGAATTCAATTTCGAGTTCGGACAAGCCCAAACGAGCCCAAATTTTGATAGTTTTCTTCGTTTTTTTTATCCTTTTTCCCCGTTTTTAGCCGGAAACCCCGCAAGGAATAGTTCCAGCCCGAAAATTGGTCAAGAAAGCATGCCTATTAATAGGATTCGTTGGC